GGGAGAGAGTCAGGTGGCTGAAGGAGGGTGTCGAAGGTTGAAAGGCCAGTGGGGGAAAGGAGCAGAGAGAGACCAAGGACTGCTGGGCGAATCCGAGGGCTTCTGGAGGCTGGTAACAATGAGGGGATTGCAGCCACGATGAAGGCACTGAGAAGTCCCCAAGCTGTGCTCAGTGACTGGTGAACCAGCAGAGACTCCAGCAGATCCACTCTACGTGGAGGAGGAATGAAGGAGGCAGAGGGGGCAGGTGGACTGATGGCTCTTGAAAACAGACCGTGATATAAGGTCTAGGCTTGGTGGGGGAGGAACTGCGGCCTCAATGGTGGAAAGTTTCAGGTCATTGATAAGATTTAAGAGTGAGGTTGGTAGGCATGAGAATTTGGTGCATAGCAACATGCAGCCAGATAGAGGATCTTAAAGCCTAAAATCCCAAAGGTGTGTTCACCAGGATATGCACCTGTGCTGGGCCATAAAACAAGTCTAAATACACTTAAGAAGACTGTGCAGCCTTCATTCAAGTTAGGTTCAGAACACGTCCATCAGCTCCAAAGAAACCCCATGCCCACTTACACTCTCCATCCCACCCTCAGCCCTAGGCAACCAGCAACCTACTGTCTCTATGGAGCTGCCTTTTCTGAACATTTCGTATAAATGGAGTCAGACAATATGTAGCCTTTTATTTTTGGCTTCCTTTACTTAGCATAATATTTTTCCTATTCATCTGTTGTGGCATGTATCAGTATTCCGTTCCTTTTTACTGAGGAATAGTATGGATATATATGTTTTTTCTACTCATCAGTTGACAGACATTTGAATTCCAGTTTATAGTTATTACAATACTGCTGTAAACATTTGCACATAAGTTTTCACTTGAACATGTTTTCCTTTCTCTTGTGTGTATATCTAGCAGCAGAATTGCTGGGTTCTATGGTAATCTATGTTTAGCCCTTGAAGAAATTTGCCAAACAAAAATAATTTTTGTATTTTTCTTAGAGACGGGTTCTGCCATGTTGGTCAGGATGGTCTTGAACTCCTGTGTTCCCAAATGTACCATCTTATCTCTCTACCAGCAACATGGGAAGACTCCCTTTCCCCACGTCCTTTCCGACACGGCTTACTGTCCCTCTTACTACTGGAGCCATTCTGGTGAGCGTGAAGTCATATTTCATTTTGGTTTTGACTTGCATTTCCCAAATGATTAATAATGGTGAACATTAATCTATTATTATTAATCATTATTAATCTATTAATTATTAAGCATTATTAATCTATTATAATTTTAGTTTATAATAGACATTTTACCAAAGAAGGTATACAAATGGGAATGTACTTAGCCATCTTGTACCTTCTTTGGTAAAATGTCTATTCAAGTCCTTTGCTCATTCTGTGGCTGGGTTGTTTGTCTATTATTGAATTGTAAGAATTCTCTACATATTCTAGATATAAATCCTTTGTTAGATGATTCTAAAATTATTTTCTCCAAGTCTGTGGCTTGGATTCTCATTTTCCTAAGAATGCTTTTTGAAGAACAAATATCTTTAATTCTGATAAAGTCAAATTTATCATTTTTTGTTCTTTAAGGATAATGCCTTAGGTGTCAAATCTAAGAAGTCTTTGCCTAACCCAAGATCATGGAGATTTCTCTCCCTAGAGAGAAATTTTATAAGTTTTATAGAGGAATTAAGTTACAAATTAATAATTATAAGATATGCTTTTACAAACTCAAAATATGTGGAAATTAAACAACATACTTTTTTGTTTGTGTTTCTGTTTTGTTTTTGAGACAGAGTCTTGCTTTGTCGCCCGGGCTGGAGTGCAGTGGCATGATCTTGGATCACCGCAGCTTCTGCCTTCCGGGTTCAAGAGATTCTCCCACCTCAGCCTCCCGAGTAGCTGGCACCTGCCATCATCCGTGGCTAATTTTTGTATTTTTCTTAGAGACGGGTTCTGCCATGTTGGCCAGAATGATCTTGAACTCCTGGCCTCAGGTGATCCACCCACCTCAGCCTCCCAAAGTGCTGGGATTACAGGTGTGAGCTATCTCGCCCAGCCTAAACAACATACTTTTAAATAATCTATGGGTCAAAGAAGAAATCATAAGGGAAACTAGAAAATATTTCTAACAGGCTGGGTGCGGTGGCTCAAGCTTGTAATCCTAGCACTTTCTGAGGCCGAGGTGGGTGGATCACCTGAGGCCAGAAGTTCAAGATCAGCCTGACCAACATGGTAAAACCCTTTTTCCACTACAAATACGAAAATAATTATCCAGGCGTGGTGGTGCATGCCTGTAGTCCCTGCTACTCTGGAGGCTGAGGCAGGAGAATCACTTGAGCCTGGGAGGTGGAGGCTGCAGTGAGCAGAGATCACACCACTGTACTCCAGCCTGGGTGACAGAGTGAGACTCCATCTCAGAAAAAAAAAAAAAAAAGAAAAAAAAAATTTCGGATAGAATAATGAAAAGACATTTCAATAAACGTTAAAGAAGCAATACATAAATAAATAAAAGGCATTTCATTAAACACACACCATGCACATCTTTTGCCCTCTCCGCTAGCTATTAACAAAGTTTTCTCCTCTTCTTCAGAGTTAAATTTCTCAAAAAGAATGTTTATATTCAAGTATTCACATTCCTATTCCTCGCTTTACCCTTCTCCATACAATGCAATCTGGCTGGGAGATGCTTCACTCCACTGGAACAGGGCTTACTGATTCCCAAGGACCTCCTTGCTTCTAAATCCACAGAAGTGCTTCTGTCTTTATCTTATTTTTCCTCTTGGCAGCATAAATGCTGGTTTTCTTCCCACTTCTTTGGCCTCTCCTCTTCACTCTTCATCATGTTTTTGTCCCTCAAAGATCAGCCTTAGGTCCTCTTTCCTTCCTTCTGCATCCCCTCTCCTTAAGGGACCTCATCCATCTCAGTTTTCAACAATCTATACAACAATGATCTTCTGCATACATTCCTGGTCCAGATCCCTGCCCTGAATTCCGAGCCTATAGGCCCAATAACCCTCCTCCAACAGTCTATCCCAGCCATTCTCCAAGGCCTCTGCCATGGTCTGAATGTTTGTGTCCACCCAAAACTCATCTGCTAAAATTCTAACCCCCATGGTGATGGCTTAGGAGGTGGGGACTTTAGGAGGTGATTAGGTCATGAAAGTGGAGCCCTCATGAATGAAATTAGTGTCCTTATAAGAGAGACCCCAGAGAGCTCCTTTGCCCCTTCAGCCATGTAAGGACACAGAAGGTGCCATCTACGAGGAAGTAGGCTCTCACCAGATAGCAAATCTACTGGTGCCTTGATCTTGGAGACTTCCTAGCCTCCAGAGCTGTGAGAAATAAACATCTGTTGTTTATAAGCCGCCCAGCTTACGGTATGTTGTTACAGCAGCCCAAATGGACCAAGGCAGCTTTTCAAACACAATTTGTCTAAATCCAAACTCATGATCCCCTTCTCTAGGGCCGAGTCCCCTTCTGAAGCTGCTTCTTTCAGCAAATGGCACCATTCTGCCTAGCTGCAAGCTTGAGACCTGAGTCTTCCGAGACCTGTCCCTCCCCCCAAACCCTCACGTCCAATCCATTGTCACAATTTATTGACCCAACTTCAAACATCTCCGAAATCTTAGATACCACCATCCCAGTTTCTCAATGAGACTATGGTCCAGCCTCCTTGATGGTTTCCTTGAATGCAAAAGCGTCGTTACCCAAACCATTCTACACACTGCGGTCAGAGGAGCTTGTCAAATCACAGTCTTATCATGTCACTCTCCTGCTTCAATGGCTCTCAACACAAAGACAAAACTTTAACCTGGCCTATAAGGCCTGTCCCAAGCTAGTGTATACCTACTTTCCACTCTTGACATCTCCCCCCCAACCCCATGGCCTTTGCACATGCCTTTCCCTCTCCCAGGAGCATACTTTCCTCCCTTCTTGCCATGTTAATTCTTGCTCATGCTTCAGATCTCTGATAAGCATCACTCTCTTAGGGAAGGCTTCCCTGACCTCCCTGACAAGGCCAAATGCCCCAATTATTATCAACCCCATAGCTCTGCTTAGCAGCCGTCACAGCTATGCTTTTACTATTTAATACGGGTCAGCCTCCCCCACTAGACTGAAAGTCCCATGAGGGAAAGGATCATGTCTGGTTTTATTCATGATTGTATCCTTAGTGCCTGGCACAAACCTTGGGCACATAGTGGCCACGGAATGAGAAATGTGTTGACGAGTGATGGTAAGGTGATCTAGGGTGAAAACAGCACATGAGCGAGAGGAGAAGGCGGTGAAGGAAGAAGTGCCAATGTCTCCAAACAACCGGGGGAGTGACGGAAGCGAGAGCAGAGGAGCGCACAGACCACGGCAGGAGCCCCAGGCGTGCGGGGCTAGACGCGACTGGGGATATTCTGGGAGCAGCAGTCTTGGCATACATGAAAAACAGGGCTGGGTGCGGTGGCTCATGCCTGTAATCCCAGCACTTTGGGAGGCCGAGGCAGGCAGATCATGAGGTCAGGAGATTGAGATCGTCCTGGCTAACACGGTGAAACCCTGTCTCTACTAAAAACACAAAAAATTAACCAGAGGTGGTGGCACATGCCTATAGTCCCAGCTACTTGGGAGGCTGAGGCAGGAGAATCACCTGAACCCAGGAGGTGGAGGTTGCAGTGAGCCGAGATCGTGCCACTGAAACAGACAGACGCTCCCAGAGGGATCCACCCCTTTGTCCAGATTGGATTTTCCTCTAGATAAAGAACAGGCACCCCCATAATCAGGGGCTGTGATTCTTCCCAGAGGAGGCAGGAAGATGTCATTCACTGGAGGAAGCCAATGACAAGGGGGCAGATGGCGGCACCTCCGAGCTGGCCACGGAATCCCTGAACAATTCCTGAAATGCCACACTCAACACCGTCACACCATATCTCACTAATGGCTCTTTGTGATTCTTTTTCAGACACTAACAACCAGAAGTTTGAGGCCTGAATTCCAACCCTTCCCATGAAGACACATACCTTGGTCCATCCAGGAAACTGGATAAAGGTGTCCTGGGGCAAGTCTGGGATCCCACTGGGAATGGAGAAGTTCCCCACATAGAAGGCCGGGAGCGTGTAGTTGGATGAGCTGTGGGCCCAGGCTTTAGCATGGCGGCCACTGTCATGGTGTCCCCAGCCCCCCAGGTGGCTGCGCACTGCATCCTCGGTGTGCAGTGGGAAGATCGTCCAGCCCGTGAGGATACTGGAACCGAGGGTCAGGTTAGAAACCAAACCCTGCAAAGCAGAAACGGAGCACAGTGAGCTGGGGTGGGAAGGAAAAAGGTCACATGTCTCTGCATTCCAGGGAAACAGGAAAAGCAAACAGGAATACAAAACACCAACAGGAAATGAACCTCAAAATATGTGTACATCGAAGTAGCACAGATCTAACTGGAGGTTGAATTACAAATCCTTGGGAAGAGATATATTCCCCAAGCTCTAGCTTTCTCCTTTGCAGGTCATGATGTCTCTATAAAAGGCCCAGAGTTTCTGCTTCTACAGAAAGGGTGTTGAGCTGCTAGAGTGCTGACCCAAATTCCCAAATCTTCAGCATTTGGCTGAGAGCCACTGCTAGAGCAGAAGAAAGATGGGCACCAAGAAAGATGGCCCAGGCGCGGTGGCGCACGCTTGTAATCCCAGCACTTTGAGGCCGAGGCAAGCAGATCACTTGAGGTCAGGAGTTCAAGACCAGCCTGGCCAACATGGTGAAACCCCATCTTTACTAAAAATACAAAAATTAGCTGGATGTGGTGGCAGGTACCTGTAATCCCAGGTTCTCAGGAGGCTGAGGCATGAGAATTGCTTGAACCTGGGAGGTGGAGGCTGCAGTGAGCTGAGATCATGCCACTGCACTCCAGCCTGGGCATCAGAGTGACACTCCATCTAAAAACAAAAGGGGATCCAGTCTCTACAAAACATACAAAAATTAGCCTGGCGTGGTGGCATGCACCTATAGTTCCAACTACTTGGGAGGCTGAGGAGGAAGGACTGCTTGAGTCCAGGAGGCAGAGGTTGCAGTGAGCTGAGATTGTGCCACTGCACTCCAGGATGGGTGACAGAGTGACACCCTGTCTCAAAAAACAAAAAAGGAAGATGAAAAGATGGAATCTGGGGACAGAAGGAATAAGTGGGGGATGCAAAGGAATAGTCACCCCACTGCGGATGGAGCAGGCACAGTGGCCGCAGCCAGGTGCAAATCTTGGCCTTGAGCACCTCAGCCACGCTCACAGGGAGGACCACACCTGAGTCACTCGCCTGTTTTGAGGACCACGTGAGGTAGCATACATGAGAATACTGCAATACCATAAGAGGACAGGAAGGGTAACATCATCCATGAGGATGATGGCGAACCTCAGACCTGAATTCAGAAGCTGCTCCATTTGTTCCCCACAGGCCGGGGCTGGGCTGTCAAGGCTCAGCTAACTTCCCCTTCCCTGGCTCATATGCGGGGGAACTTCCCCCTTCCCCGTGGGATTCCCCAGTGGAATCCCAGATAACAAGTCTCAACTGCCTATTTAGTAATTTGATAACTGTTGACCACGTGGCTGTGTGTCAGGCTCTTTGCCAGGTACTGGGGACCCAGAGACTACCCAACAGGTCCAGTCACTCCCACGGGTCAGTGTGGCCTGTGAGATCCAGGCGGGAGGCCACGAAGTCCACCCTGAGCACAAGAACTAGAAGAGAGACATTTATACTGGAGGCAAAGGCGGCCTGCACACAGCTGTTCCCTAAGTTCCCTAAGATGTAACTGCCTGATCCCAAGAGGGTCAGGAAGGAGCCTCGGACACCTGTCCCCTCCCAGCCTGGGTGATGCCACAGTTCCTTCGACAAGGCGTTCTCTCCTCCCGTGGAGGGTGAGCTCCCTGAGGGGAGCCTGTCTCTCGACACCTTTGCATTCCCCAAAGCACCTGGTGTGGCATCTCGCTGAGTGGGAGCTTAACAAGTGCTTGCTGAATAATGCTCTAAAAATATGTATTAGAAAAACTCTAGACACCTGGACACAGGAGCAGTCAACAGAGGTGACAGGCAGTGCCCCGAGGGAAGGGGCTTCCTGCAAGTGAAGAGTTTGCCACGAACTAACCATCCAAACCCATGACCCAGGGCAGAACAGAGGCTCAGCTGGCTTTGCTGGCAAAGGAGTGCCTTCAGTGAGCTCGGCACGCTTTTTACGCAGAGGAAGAGCATGGTGGAGGGGCTTCCTCCTTCTGTTTCTTTCTACAGGACGACCAAGCTCAAACACAGGCGAAAGGTTCTGTTTGCAAAGCTCAACTTTCTCATCACCTACAGAGGAAAGCAGCTCTTCAAAATAACTCAACTACTTCCTTCTTTTTTGAGACAAGGTCTCACTTTGTCACCCAGACTGGAGTACAGTGGCATGATCATAGTTCATTTTAACCTCTAACTTCTGGGCTCAAGCAATCCTCCTGCCTCAGCCTCCTGAGTCACTGGGACCACAGGTGCACATCATCAAACCTGTCTAACTTTTTAATTTTTTGTACAGGTCTCACTCTTTTACCCAGGTTGGTCTTGAACCCCTGGCCTCAAATGATCCTCCTGCCTTGGCCTCACAAAGTGCTGAGGTTACAGGCAGGAGCCACTGTACGGGGCTTCAACTTCTAAGCTGTCAACCCTTGAACCTCAGCCTTGACAGTGTGGTTTGTCCTACCTTAAAATCGTTGATATGTGCGCCATAGTTCACACGTCCCATGTTCTCTACCAGAAGGTCCAGAGTGGCTCCAGCTTTCCCTGTTATGTTCAGAGTGATCACACTGTTTCGCTCAAGGACTCCCTGGGGAATCTGGGGGTTCAAGATCAAATGACAATTGAATTGAGGGTAAGAAGGTCAGCAAAGAGAGGCAGCATGCTCAGTTCATTTAGCATTCATTTTCTTGCCTTGAAGCGTCACCAGACTTGGAAAGAAATGCTTTGATAGCATTTTAGCCCAAGTTACAGGCCGGGTGGGAAAGCTCCCTAGTCACTGCTTCCTAAACAGGAAAATTGCCAGACACAGCTCAGAGCTCGGAACGGTCTAAGCTGGCTTCCTTTACGCCGGAATGTTTTACTGCACATCTACTTTTAGTGGAAACAGGAGGGAGGCAAAATTCCAGGGGAGGATTCTTATTAGAGGAGCTGCTTCATGTTCTGACGGCACAAAAGTCAGTCACACACAAAAAAACTGCTTCTAAACAACATGGAGAGAGAAGACAGAATCAGATAAACGAGATAAAATCAGAGAGTTAGGTGGAGTATTCTCACCTCAAAATACTTGACATGATGCATTAACCACGAAAATTATATAATAGAAAGAGGAAAAACAACAGGTATTTTATCAGCAACATGTTCCTTTTTAAAAGGTGAGACTTTTAAAATTGACCTTACAATAGTCGTAATTCACTAAGACAACACCCAAGTTGGAAGCAAAGAAACAGTCGCCATCAACAGAGCAGAATGTCTTAGAAATCTGCTCCCACTGAAATGAAAGCTGTTGATTACAAGAGAAGGGAAATATTTAAAGTCTTCTGAATACATTTTCTTGGCGAGGAAAATCTTTTCATGTGTTCCTTCCTGCGACCATTTCAGTGAGAGGACTGGAGGTCCCGCCATGTGTCTGATTTGTTATGAAACACAGTTCTTTGTGTATTTCGGCAATAATTGTCACGAGCAGTCCTTCAGACTATAACTTCTCATGCAGGATAAAGGCACAAAGTTCAACGAACTTTGTACGGTGGCAGTTACAAAACTGAATTGGAAATGGGACCCTTAAGGAGCAAAGAAGGCAGCACAATACCATCAGTCAGAGAAGGTCGGTTTTCATGGGGGAGACCCAGAAGGCTTCTCAGCGGGTGGGACATCAAGCACAGCCCTCTGGTTGAGATGGTGGGTAGGGTGTATTCCAGCAAAGGGCACATGCATGAGGCCTCACAGCAAGCCAGGGGCACAGCTAAGGGTCACCGACAAGAGGGGTGGAGCCCAGCGTGACGGCTCATGCCTGCAATCCCAGCAATTTGGGAGGCTGAGGCAGGAGGATCACTTGAATTCAGCAGTTCCAAGATCAGCCTGGGCAACATAGGAGGACCCTGCCTCTACAAAAAAAAAAATTAGCCAGGCATGGTGGTGCACCCCTGTAGTCTCAGCTACAAGGCAGGCCGAGATAGGGGGATCACTCAAGCCTTGGAGGTTGAGGCTTCAGTAAGCTGGGATCACACCACTGCACTCCAGGCTGGGCCACAAAGCAAGACCCTGTCTCGAAAAAGAAAAAAGGAAGATGATGATGGGTGGGGCCTGAGGTTGAACGAAGAGGTGAGCCAAGACCTCAAATGCTGTGTTAACAAGCGCAGGCTACTACTCATCCCCACCCTCACTGGGTCAACATGCCCAGTTCAGAGACGATCCTTACCCCGTCCACAGCAACATAGGCGCGATCATGGACTCCATTGAGGGGTGAAGAGAGAGGTGCTGAGTTGCTGCAATCTTGAGGAAGTGTTGTCCGGTACAGCACAAATCCATAATACTGGTTAGAAACGGATTTAAGGAAAAGACATCACTATTGCCATGCTTTGAAAGAGAACTTGGTTACCCTAGATCTGCATGAAGGCACTGTTCTGCAAACCGTAAGAAATGAAAATCTTCCCCCACCTCCAGAAAAATTCAGCTTGAAAAAGAAAACTGGCTTAAACTTTTAGGTCATCGAATATCTATCATAATAGTAAAATGCAAGGAAGCCCGCAGTGTCCTATCAAGCTTCCCTTTCCCATAAGAGGAACCTGGACCCTGAGTGCGTTAAGTTCCTTGCCCAGGGTTATACAGGGGATTATATTATATATAGCAAAAGTTATGGATGTTAACTCAAAAAACAAAACTAAGTAAAAGAAAAAACAAACAAAAAAACCAAGGTAAACAAACAGCAAAGCCAAGAGATGAGGTTCCGCTCAGCAAAAGTGTGGCAGTTTCTTGGGCTCAATCTGCTTTAACATACAAAACAAAAGGCAATGAGGGGGTGCAGTGGCATGCACCCATAGTCCTAGCTACTTGGGGGGCTAAATTGGGAGGATCTCTTGAGCCAGGAGTTCCAAGCTAGTATGGGCAACATAGCAAGACCCCATCTCTAATAATACAGGTATTGATCGACTTATGACCTATGCAACTTACGACCATTCGACTTTACGACCACAATCGCTAGCCAAGACTGCTCCGCGTCTGGCAGCGCAAACGTTGCCCAGCTGGGCATACGACAGTGCGGACCAGCTTCCGGCAGCACTACCATCTCCGCGTGCACATAGCCTACCCAACTTACGACCAAATCATGTTACAACCGGTCTGTCGGAACCAATCGTGGTCGTAAGTCGAGCACTAGCTGTAATAACAACAAAGTCCAACAGAACTGTTTTAAGTGGAGGAACGGGGGAAAGAAATAGTTAAGAGGCTCAACTGTAACTGACCACTGAGTCAGAAAATATTTTTAGATGCTGACATCCCTGGTCCAAAAGGAAAGCCCCAAACAATCAGCCTCGGCAGTAACGGCATCCACAGAATTATAGTTACTGCCTTTGCTTATTGACTTCCTGCTGTGGACATTATTAGCAGGGCAGAGCTGGGACAACATCCTGAGTTATGGAAGAGAATGCAGATAGAGATCCCGCATGGAACAGAGAAAAGGCTCCCAACTGCTAGGGCCCAGAAGGAAAGCAAGCAAGCTTCAAGCAAGCGGAAAGGTGACTGGGAGGAGCTGAGGAAAGCATTAATCTTCATTCCTGTGTTGCAGCAATGAGCTGAGCACAAGAAATGCTACGAACACCACACCAACTTTCTAGCATAAGAACACCTCCCGCCCAGACTCCACATCTCCATCTCCTTCTTGTTTATTTATTTACTTATTTTGAAAACTAGCTAAAGTGGTATGTTTCCTCAAGGGCTGAGGAAGACTTTGTCAAGGGCTTCCAGAAGGAGGGGTAGAAGCTGTGATGCTCCCCGGGCAGGTGTGGCTGAGGCTCAGGGGGTCCCTGCAGAGACACTGGGCTGAGCCCCACTCCCTGAAGTCTGTGCCCTTTGGGGCTTCTGCTGGAAACATATTCTGTGAACTTGCCCCAGATCTGAAATAGCCAGGGTCCAGGAAGCCCCACCCAATTTGAAAGCACTGGCCAAAGATCAGAAGGCAGAAGGGGTCTAAGAAAGAACACTGGCTGCACCTGTTCATAGAGTAACCTGGAACTCCCTCCCCAGGCTCCACGTGCTCTCGGATCATGTCTTGTCTGAAGTGCTCAACAGCCCTGTTAAGCACAGGCAAGTTCCTTTGAGAGATGTGGGTGCTAGGGCTGCAGAGCACCCTATACAGTGTTTATGGAACAGTAAATGTGTGTGGGTGGGGGGGCTTAATTATTCATGTATTACAAAATAGAATTGTCAGAATAAAATCACAGGTGTAAAAAGAGCAACTGAAGGCAAACTTCACTAAGATTAGACATGTTGTTATCATTTTGCCTTATGTTCAGACTTCTTCCAGAAGGTGATTGCCACAGAAAATCAGAAAGGAGGACGAAATCCTAAGTGATGAAGCTTAACGCTGCAGTGAAGGGACAAGCTGGCCTCACGGGCATCCTGATACGTTCTCTGAGAAGGACACATCACCTTTGCTGTGTTCAGGCCAAAAATGTTTTACTGAATCTAATTAGTGAGGGAAAGTCTACAAATACCCAGACTTTTTCAAAAATGTCTACAAATACCCAGACCTTTTCAAAAATGTCTACAAATACCCAGACCTTTTCTTTTTTTTTTTTTTTTTTTTGAGACGGAGTTTCGCTCTTGTTACCCAGGCTGGAGTGCAATGGCGCGATCTCGGCTCACCGCAACCTCCGCCTCCCGGGTTCAGGCAATTCTCCTGCCCCAGCCTCCTGAGTCGCTGGGATTACAGACACGCACCACCATGCCCAGCTAATTTTTTGTATTTTTAGTAGAGGAGGGGTTTCACCATGTTGACCAGGATGGTCTCGATCTGTTGACCTCGTGATCCACCCGCCTCGGCCTCCCAAAGTGCTGGGATTACAGGCGTGAGCCACCGCGCCCGGCCGCTACCCAGACCTTTTCTATGTCATGAGAGAGAGACTTAGGAAGAGTTTCAGATGGAAGAAGACTAAAGAGACAGTATAACTAAAGGCGGTGTGTGATTATGAGCGGCAAATGGATTGAGAAAACATTCAGCTGTAAAGGACATTATCGGAATGACCAGGGACACTTGAATATAAAATTTATGAGATAATGCGATTGGAGCAATGTTAAATGTCTTATGTGTGACCACTGCATTGTGGTCCTGCGGGATCATGTCCTTTTTCTTAAAAAACGTATGCTGTGGTATTTAAATGTGACGTGCCATGTGCTGACAACTCAAATGGTTAGAAGAAGAAAAGCAGCTGACTTTGTACACCCGTAGAGAACAAGGCAAGTAAAGCACTGTTAACAGTTGGTGAATCTAGGTAAAAAGTATATGGGTGTTTGTTGTACTGTTTTTGCAATTTTTTTTGGATTTAAAACTCTCCAAAACAAAACGCTGGGAAAAACTTTTAAAAAGTAAAGATGAGGCAGTGTCTGGAGATCAAACACACACATATACAAATACTAAAAAAAAAAAAAGAAAAAAAAAAAAAAGAAAAAAAAGATGTGCTCTGTTCTCTTCAAAAGCAGGAAAAATAATCTCAAAGAACTTAGTCTACCAAACAAACAAAACACAGTCCTTATGCCATTGAGCTAAGAACAGGCAAATAATTAAACTGTCTGTTTTGAGTATGAAAACAGTGATCTTCCACCGATGCCTAGTAATGAAGATTAGATTGGTCAGTGAACTCAATTTATAACTTGTACAGAATTATGCTGAAGCTGGTTGGGCTACCTCGTACATGAGTGAGAAGAAGTGGGGCCAAAAAATAGGCATGATCAGCCCACCATGCAGCCTGGAGCTAGAGAGAGCCTGGAAATTCATGGTTAACTTCCCTGGGATCGGATGCATTTGCTTCGCATTTTGGCCCCTGCACTCAGAATGGGCACTGCGAGGCAGTGTGGAAAACACAGAAAAAAAGGTGAGGCATTACCTTTGAAGGCCTACCTGTTTCACCTGGATAAATGTCAAGGGATAAAGGCTTTTGATGGGGCCAGAGGGGCACAGAATGTCCAGAGCTGCTTCCACTGTCTTTAACTGAAAAGAAACAAAAGCACCATTCACACACTGCGCCCCTCACTGGTCATCAGAGTAGAGAGTAGCGTCATTTCCCAATTATCAAAGATATCAGTAGGTTTGACCAAACCCCTAAATAAACCTAAATTGTTCAAATTCCACTCGGTGTTGCTTCCCAGTCTTCCTTAGTCCTCTCCATCTCCTCCCTAACTCCTGATGAAAACTATGAATGACGGTAGTCTTAAAAAAAAAGCTTCAAACATACCTATTCAGAAATTCTACCTGCTCAGAGATCTATAAAAGGCCCTTAAGATGAATGAACACCAAGGCTCAGATGCTGCCTCCTTATAAACCCTGTCTGAACACGCCCAAGTGAAGCAACTAAGAAGTAAAAGTAGTAACCAGAGGCCAATTACAACCAACTAAGATTAGAAATGCTATTATTATGTCACCTTAATATTTAATACCTCCTAGTTACTTCACCCTCCTCTGAACTTGTGTGTGGCCTGTTTTCCATGCCTGTATCATTTTTCAGTTGTTCGTCTTTGTCTTCCTCACCAGACTGTCAGCTCCTGAAGGATAAGATATGCTCTGTACTCAGTCCCAATGCCCAGAACATAGTAGATACCTGGTAAGTCTTTATTATGTTCAATCCAAAGGATTGTGTATTCTTGCAACCCAGGATAGTTATTCTGATGCAATAACAACAATAATAACAGCTATCAGTCATTGCATGCCTACACGCTCCAGGTGAGATACAGCGTTTTATAGGCACTAACTCACTGAATACTCACAACTACCCTGTGAGGCAGGTACTACTGTCCCTGTGTTGTGGACACTCAGAGAAGTCTACTCGAGTAATGACAGAGCCAGGATTTGGAGTTAGGTTTGGCTCCAAACTCCAGGATTTTCCATGACATAATACTGGTTAGAAATTTTGTTTTGTTTTGTTTGAGAGAGTCTCACTCTGTCATCCAGGCTGGCAGGCTGGGCTACAGTGGCGTAATCTTGGCTCACTGCAACCTCCTCCTCCTGGGTTCAAGAGATTCTCCTGCCTCAGCCTCCTGAGCAGGCATGTGCCACCATGCCTGGCTAATTTTGGTATTTTTTGTAGAGACAGGGTTTTACCATGTTGGCCAGGCTGGTCTTGAACTCCTGACCTCAGGTGATCCTTCTGCCTTGGCCTCCCAAAGTGCTGAGATTACAGGCGTGGGTCATCATGCCCAGCCCAGTTAGGAATTTTATAAACACTTTCCATGGTTACCTTGCTGATGTGCAGCATCAAGGAAAAAAATCTGATTTACAATTTCATCAAGCCAGTTACTCACATGGGTGTCTTCCAACCTGGACACTAAGAAATTCAACTCACGGTGAAAACTTTTTTCTATATAACTGTGTTCTACATAAACTTAATTCAGTTATATGCTGATTTGCTATCTTAAATTGTATATATTGATTTAAAAATGAAAAGTCATTTCTGCTCACACCATTTTCCTTCATGATAAACAGAATGTGCTTTTGGTACTAAGCAAGTTTTGTTTTAGCAATGTTGTTTTGAACATTTGGAGCTGTTTTCTGTTGCATAAAAATAGATTTGTCACGGCTCTGAAACAAACAAAGCAAACTTTTCCTTAGGTAGCTGTAGCGATGAGCAAGTGGAAGGTGTTCCCTTTACAAGACTGATTCAAGTCTGATCAATCTGAAGAAAGATCCCTATCAGAGAGAAAGACCATATTCTTTGTAGAATGTAGCGCATGTATCTGACATTAGGTGGAAAATGTTACAAGAACTCAAGCAACCAACCATGTCAAAGGGTTCCTTGAATGGAAAAATTACATAATCATGTTTGGCATTTTGCTTGAAGATAAAAACTTATGATACTATTTTAGGGTCTTGAGATTCTTAAGAAATAGGTAACGGTTCTTTTTTCTTTCTTGTGAGTTAATACATGTAGGAGTTAGGGATTATGAAGGGGGAAACCTGAAGACACAGATGGTCAAAACAAATTGACTTCGGCTGTGTCACTCCTCTGACTATTAAGTAAAACATCTCTTCTTTTTTACTTTTCCTAGAATACAGTGCCCCTAACTCCTATGTATGATTGATTTCTAGCTTTTCCCCTGATGTCTCTTTTAGCATATAAACCAGACCATAAAAACTAGGACATAACTTCGAGATGGAGGGTAGCATATAATTTAGGGCAGAGATTTATCAAAAGGCCACTGATTTTTGGAAATCCCTAAAAAAAAGTAAATTATGGAAAAGAGCCTTGCCAGCCAGAACAACGAGGTGGCATGCTATTTTCACAAAGGCCCTTGACACTGTTTTAACCACTGATAAGGGAATCAAGATGACCCAAATGATCCAAGAATGCCTTCTACTCCCACCCATGTCCCATCTGCTCATCCTGTCAACAAGCCTAAGTATCTTCTCGCCTCTATCTCCCCATTTTCCCAGAAACATCGTTTACCCCATCAGGTTCGCAGAAAACAAATTCGCAGAAAAATAACGAACCAAATCCTCCAGCACAGCACTTTCACTGACTGCCACTAAATTCCACTTTCTCATTCCCGTCTCACTTTCAATGTTTCTGTTATTTTTCTTTCCTTACCTTTCCCAGAGTGACCTTTCCATATGCAAACTTTGGTGTAGATGGAGGGACAGGACCTTCTGGTACTTTTTCAAACTATAAACCAGAGTAGAAAAAGAGAGAAGAGAAAAAAAGCTGTTAAACCTTCAGAAACATGTTCATTTATTTTTCAAAAGGAAGGTCGAAGGCTCGAGAGTATCAGTGCTTTTTTGGAAAATCAAAGGAACTGGAGACTTCTAAGTGTGTCTGTGTTTTAAGCTTCAGGAATCATCCAGATCATTATAAACTGAAAGACCTTAAAACAAAAGAGCAAAAACAAGTAGAGAGAATGGGCGTAAACAGCAGAAGGCCGGGAAGTGGGAGGTAAGAAGAAAACAGGAACATGACAGACAGACTCTGAAGGGAGATAGCCTAGCATAGGAAAAATATTAATCTTATTGCTAAAGTGCTGTGTAATGTTAAATCTACTGTGGTTACGAGAGAGAATATTTCTACATATTATCATGAAACATATAATAAAGTATTTAAGGATAAAGTCCGTGATATGTATGCAGTCCTCCAATGATATAGAAAACACACACACACACACACACACAGAGAGAGAGAGAGAGAGAGAGAGAGAGAGAAGAAACAAGTCTATGCACAAGTGATGAATCCAGGTGGAGAATCTATAAAAGCGTGTGTGTGTGTGTGTGTGTGTGTGTGTGTGTGTGTGTGTCTCTGTGATGGAGTTTCACTCTTGTTGCCCAGGCTGGAGTGCAATGGTGTGATCTTGGCTCACCACAACCTCTGCCTCCCGGGTTCAAGTCATTCTCCTGCCTCAGACTCCCGAATAGCTGGGATTACAGGCATGCATCACCACACCTGGCTAATTTTATATTTTTAGTAGAGATGGGGTTTCACTATATTGGCCAGGATGGTCTCGATCTCTTGACCTCAGATGACCCACCTGCCCAGGCCTCCCAAAGTGCTGGGATTACAGGTGTGAGCCACCATGCCCAGTACATTTTAAAGTTATTTAATTCTTCCTATTTTTGCTGCTTCTGCTCTCTAAGTAATATAAGTGTACTGCTATTTCTTATCATTGATTTCTTTAACACTTGACAGTATACCCCAGAAGGTGAAGTCAGTTTATCTTCCTTTCTTGTTATTATGGTGATATAACCATTTTCAGCTTCTCCCCTAGTTACCTTTGTACCTTTAAAATAATATCCTTATATCTGTATTTCTTAGTTCCATCAATGAGCATATGACCCTTTGTGTCCACGTGTTTTAAGACAAAGCTACCTGCATCCTTCCCTGAGCTCTCCTCCACACTTCACCTTCACACCATGAGCTGTACTTTTACACTGTCAAGGTTAAAACCATCTGTCCTGCTCAGGTGGTGATTTAGGCCTGTAATCCCAGCACTTTGGGAGGCAAGGCAGGAAGATCGCTTGAGCCCAGGAGTTTGAGACCAGCCTGGGTAACATAGGGAGACCCCATCTCTACAAATTTTGTTTTCAAAAGTAGGCATGATGGCATAGGCCTGTGGTCCCAGCCACTTAGGAGGCTGAGGTGGGAAGATCCTTGAGCCCAGGAGGTCGAGGTTTCAGTGACTCACGATCATGTCACTGCACTCCAGACAGGGTGACAGAACAAGACCTTGTCTCAAAAACAAACAAACAAACAAACACTGTCTTATAGCCATAAGTCCTGTCTTTGTCTGGATATTGACTTTATATTGACTTTGAATTCAAAATCAACCAACAGTACTCACAATATAATTGTATAAATATTGGCCTCTATACAGCTAAATGGTCTATACTATGACGGTATGCTCTGTCTTGCTCAGCTTTTTGTATTCTTTCACCTATTCCTGTGGTTTCTAATTGCCCTTCTTTTTTTCTGCCTGGTTTTAGCTCAACACCTCTTTAGGTTATTCCAGGTATCCAAGGGTAGTGTCAAGTTTCTCCAAATACCTCCTCTTTCTCCCCTAGAAAACGCCTACTTGGAATTCTCAGTCTTCCTGCTCCAAGAGACTGACTCCCCTCTCCAAATGATATTCGGAGACTTCCCTTCATTATTCTCCTGGCTTTAGCTCCTGTTTCTAGGATCTCATGACTTCCTCCAATGGAGCACAATCTCAAGTAACTTCCTAAGAACTGGCATGTGGGGGTAAACCTGAAGCTCTGAATGTCACAGTTCGCTGATAGGTTGGAAGGGCATAGAATTGTATGTTGAAAATCATCTTCCCTCACAATGTCAAAGGTACTATTTTATTGTCTTCTATCATGTAGTGTGGCTCATGCCAATCTTATTCTTGTTTCTTTGAAAGGGAAAGGGACTGGCTTTTTGTCTCCAGAGCCATACTGCCTCTTTTTTTTGTTTTGTTTTGTTTTTTGAGACTGAGTCTCACTCTGTCACTCAGGCTGGAGTGCAGTGGCGTGATCTCCATTCACTATAACCTCCAACTCCCGGGTTCAAGCGATTCTCCTGCCTCAGCCTCTTGAGTAGCTGGTGCTACAGGCGCACGCCACCATGCCTGGCTAATTTTTGTATTTTTAGTAGAGAAGAGGTTTCGTCATGTTGGCCAGGCTGGTCTCGAACTCCTGGCCTCAAGCGATCTGCTCACCTTGGCCTCCCAGAGTGCTGGGATTATAGGAGTGAGCCATAACGCCCGGCCCTCTGTCAACTCTTTATTCTCACTGTCCTAAAATTTCCAAATGAAACATCTGATTATTTATCTTCTTTACATTCATTATGTTCAACAACTCAGAGATCCCTTTCAATCTTGGAAAAATTCTGTATTATTTCTTTGACATTTTTTTCTCCAATTTTTTCTTTCTTATAAGAACAACTTGGACATCCTAGATTGTTCCTCGTCATCTCTTATGTTTTGTGATTTCTATCTCTGTATTCTGGTTCTAATTTCTAGGAGATTCTTCTTAATATCAAAGAACTCTTGTTCTCTGGTAGCTTCTTTTTCAAAGTACCCCATTCTTATCTTATGGATGTAATATACCTCTGAAGGATATAAACTTGACGGATTTTGCTTTTTTTTTTTTTTTACTTAAGATCTCTCCTGTCCCATGAATTCTTTGTTGCCTCTAGAGTCACTTTCCTGTTTATTTCATCTTGGTCTTTCTCTTTCCTGTTGGAGGTCTGGTGGTTGTCCTCAGTGTCTGGCCATGCTTGGTTGTTCATTCCTATTCAATGGTGGTGCGAATGAATGTCCCAACATCTGCATAACTGTCCTCTCTCTTGACGGTCCTGCTCTGTGTACAGGAGCAGGGCTTATACTCTGGGGTGTTTTTTGTTTTTTTGGGACAAAGTTTTTTTTTGGGGTTTTTTTTTTTTTTTTTTGAGACAAAGTTTTGCTCTTGTCACCCAGGCCAGAGTGCAGTGGCATGATCTCAGCTCACTGCAACCTCTGCCTCCTGGGTTCACGTGATTCTCCTGCCTCAGCCTCCTGAGTAGCTGGGAATACAGGTGCCCGTCACTGCACTCAGCTAAGTTTTTTTTTTTTGTGTATTTTTAGTAGAGACGGGGTTTCATCAGTTGGCCAGGCTGGTCTTGAACTCCTGACTTCAGGTGATCCACCTGCCTAAGCCTCCCAAAGTGCTAGGATTACAGGTACGAGCCACTGCACCCAGCTCTGGGGGTTTTGTTTTAGGGTGCTTTGGCACAATCAGATGTAATGTGGAGGGTCTTTAATCTAGGGCTGTTTACCTTTTTTTAATGTTTTAAGGAACCCCTCTGGTTTTCGGTAGAAAGATGCCTCCCTGATGGATGGTCTGTGTTTGAAATTGAGGTGAAGGAGTGGAGGACCTAACAGAAAATACGTAAGTTTTAATTAACCTTCTCACTGTCAGCTCCATTTCATTCCTATCCTTTACCACTCGTGTATTTCAAGGACCTGGCTCTCCATGTTTTTTTGAGATCAGTCTACTCACCGCTCTCTGTTCCCGTAACTCCGTTCCACACTCACTAGGGACCGAGACTTCCTTATCCTCAGTCGCCACAGATTCTTTTGAAATCTGTCATGCACAAACAACTCCTGTCTTACTGCCTCCATTTTTAAAAGGATTCTCATTTTTTGAAAGAAGTAACGTTTGGAAGAGAGAGATAAGGAGGTGGTCAGTTGGCCATCGTGTACTGGAAAGTGCTTTGTACCCACAATATTCTATGAATCTATATCTCTGTGAAAGTTTAAAAATATTAAAAAAGGGATAAATGTGAGGCCAAAGAATTACTATAGATCTTAGAAAGTGAAAAATGTATTAAGATCTCTTTTCCCACTTTCCCTCGACCACATTCCTCCATTAGCTGTTTACCCAACACTCCCTCTTTCACTCTCCATTCTGGCCAATAAAAGCAGAAAACAGGCCGGGCGCGGTGGCTCACGCCTGTAATCCCAGCACTTTGGGAGGCCGAGGCGGGTGGATCACGAGGTCAAGAGATCGAGACCATCCTGGTCAACATGGTGAAACCCCGTCTCTACTAAAAATACAAAAAATTAGCTGGGCATGGTGGCACGTGCCTGTAATCCCAGCTACTCAGGAGGCTGGGGCTGGAGAATTGCCTGAACCCAGGAGGCGGAGGTTGCGGTGAGCCGAGATCGCGCCATTGCACTCCAGCCTGGGTAACAAGAGCGAAACTCCGTCTCAAAAAAAAAAAAAAAAAAAAAAAAAAAGCAGAAAACACAAATTCACAAAGAGGGACCCGAGAGCAGGATGATTTGTTTCCTGAGGTTCCCTACTTACCTGTGCATATTAGTGACCCTGTCACATTTCTCTTAAAGTTCAAAGAGGATTCCGATTTCACTAGGACTGCAACCTTTTCAACCACACTGAAAAAAGGTCCTTGTATGGACACAGTTGTTTTAACCTACATTCAGCTCACTTTGATGCAGTGCGTAGCTGTGTGTACTGTCATCTCAGGTACTACTTCTAAAGGCTCTCATACTTAGTTGTTCTATTTCCTCTTTATAGATAATAAGACTGAGGAACTGGATCAAGATTACAAAGAGAACAAGCGAGGGGGCTGGTACATGACTCTGAGTCTAGTGTTGTTCCCACTGCTTCCTGCTCCGCCCTGCCTCCTTACTGTTGTAA